CCCGCCGCCCGCCGCCCGGGCCGCTCCCGCAGGTGGCTTTGCAGCGAGCGCCTCCTGGGGGTCATTCCCGTGAGCGGCTTTCCCAGCACCCAGACGGCTGCTTTCCCGCAGGTCCCCCCAGCGTGGCACCCCCGCACGCGTCTGCCGCTGCGAAGTCAGGGCCGAGCCTTTTCCAGCAGGGTCTGCGTCTCAGCCGCGGGGAGTGGGCGGCTGGTGGGTACAGTCTCATGTACTGTTTCATGTTAATTCTTCCTGTGTTCTTTACAGTTCTCTCTACTTCTTACGATTCGATCCCAGTTCGCTCCAATCCCCTGCTATAGGTAATAATTCTTTATATGAAGCTTTCCCTGTTGAAATCATTGTATGGTTTCTCTCTCCTGACTGGTCCCAGACTGATAAAGAATTTTAAAGAAATCTAGCTCTACTGGGGCTGTACTGGATGAAAGGAAATCCTGCTCTTTGAAGGTAAAATTTTTGTACATAGGAGTAATCTATTGTATATCAGATACAAATTATTGAAACTCCAAAAACTAATGAAAACCAGAGAAATTGTTTACAATTTCCAGTTTTCTTATGTACTTTCTCTAAGAAAAATTAACATATCTTGAATTCTTCCAAACAAAGGATGAACTAAGGCTAAATTAAGANACATCACGTTCAGCAGAGGGCTGTCAGACAGATCACCTGAATTCAGGGCAGCTTCAAAGTATTTTAAAAGATTATTCTTACAACTTGGTTATGGACATACCAGAGCAATTCCAGATAACCTGATGATTAAGGGGGGGGGGGGGGGCATCTGTAATACTTTCAACAATAAATTTTTTTTAAAAAAGAATGTCCAGTCGTATAAGTGTTAGAAATAACAATATTAGAGGTAAACTAGAAGGGAGATGGGAACTAACCATATTGAGGACTGCAGACATTGTATACATTTTCTCATTTTTAAAAAATGGATATTTTCAAGAAAAAAAATAGGATGCGAGCACTTAGGAAAGAGAACAGGTAACTAATAGGAAATAAGACAAGAAAATCAATGAAATTCATAAATTGTGAAAAACAGACATTTCCTTTTCCTTATCTACCTTATAGAAAAGGTTGCAAAAGTTTAAACTGACATTTTTAAAAATCAGTAAAGTAGATTCTGGAAAGATGGTACCTGAGCAAGTACCATCTCCTCTCTCCTTCAATCAGTTTATCCCCTCTCTGGAGACCAGAAGAGCCCACAGGCTTCTTTGAAGCAGCAGACTCCTCTGACAAGTGGGTGTTGGGAGACAATTCTCCACTGGTCTCTCTACATATCTTGCCAGCAAGCAGACTATCCTCTGCTCTGGACTATGTTTTCAAGTATATTTGGATGGCAATCTTGGAAGATAGAGTTTCTCCCTTCAGAGTAAAAAGCAAGTTTGCTTACTGTCGTGGAAGACAGAGCAAAGAACAGGCATGATCACTGCCCATTACAAAAGATTCCAGTAGCCCTGGCCAGTGTGGCTCAGTTGGTTGAGGGTCAGCCCATACACTGAGAGGTCACTGGTTCAATTCCCGGTCAGGACACATGCCTGGGTTGCAGGCTTGTTCCCCTGTAGGGGGCATGCAGGAGGCAGCCAATCAATG